TTCTTTAAAATCTCTGTGCATGTGTTAGCAGAGATATGCAAAAGTGAATCATTATAGCTCATATTGAGCCACGTTGGACTGCGAAAGAGTCTGTAATATTGTAGTTATCGAAAATAATGTTAGCCGCACGAGTCAAGCATTTCATACACGTCGTTAAAAATTATTTTACATGGCACAGAATTCTGGAAACACGTGAAAATGGCATTCCGTTGCTGCAATTTTTTCTTCATTCTGATTATTCGATTCATATTTTTTTTTTCTTCTTTTATGTTTTTGTCGTTGGAACGCGCGGACGGAATTATTTACAGTACTTTTGTAAGAACTTTTTTATTATTAATTTACAGTTTAATCGATAGTACATTAATAATGATTACAACGAAGTTTAATGATATAATAATATTTCATTTCGTGATTTTATTACACAAACTCTGTTTATTTACTATAATTTATAATGACATAAATTTGATAATAAGTGTGAACGAAACATTTATAATTATATAAAGTAATTGTATTTGAATAGTATATATATATATATATATAAATTAGGGTGAATTTTATTTCAAAGTGTCAATTTCTACAAACGTGCAATTATTTTTATTTAAATATGTAGATGATCGAAACGTACGTTGCATTTAATCTACATAATTTTTGAGTGCGTAGAATTCTTGATGATACACTAATTTCCAAAAGCTCAATCACCTCATGTAAATTTGCAGCTTCTTTTTATCGAGTATTCCGAACGCGATCTAAAAGTATTCCATCCACCTTTCAGCGTTAAACTCAATGCTTTCTCTTATCCGACTGATTGTCTGTATTTAATTAGAGACTAAAAAGGGTCACGGGCAATACAAGTACCTCCTGAAAAATGAATGGGAAAATTCAATTAAGCATGAGACAATATATCAGTAAGATTAACTTTTTCCGCCGACGTATATATGCCGTCTGGACTGGCTTGAATAATCCAGAGAGTGTGAGTAAGTTTTTGCAAGCGCTTAGTTCTTAATAAGCGTCGAAGGATGGGGCTTTTTTGCATTGCAAAGTACCGCGGTGGCATTTGTAAACTAACCTATGAATCTAGTCGGCCATGTCTGTGGAGGAACATTGAAAATGTGTGCAATCGCCCGACTTCTCGTACGTGAAAATCTTTTTATTATTGATTCTTTATTGCACTTTGATATTACTCAATCTAACTTGTCATATTTGTTTATGCCTTAATATTCTTATTAACGTTGCTCTTGAATACTGAATTACATTTTATTGCAAAATATTTTTAATAATACGTGTAAGTAAATTAAGTATGAATTATTGTACAGCATGTGAAATATATATTTCAAAACTGGTTTAACAAATTTTACGTAGAAAGGTAACCGAAACAAAAATTGAAAATTAAATAAAAAATGTTCTTTCAGATTTTGATGCTTATAACCTATATTTATTTGGCTATATTTATTCATCACACTAACATTTTTCTCTTTTGATGAAATATTTAAATATGAATATATCTTGTTGATAATATTTCTCAGCTATAGCAATGAAAGTATTTTATTGTTTCGATACTACGTTGGCATTAGTGTCTTTAAATTGTAAAAATTATTATCGTCACGGTGGCATTATGCCTTTAATGTATAAATTATTTTTAATTACGTAATTTTTATTTATAAAACGTAAATAGTGAAATCTGGCAATTTTATATAGATTAAATTTTTATAACTTTAATTTCAGGAGAAACCTTTTGTACAAAAGTATTTCTGACATTTCTAATTTCAGTTTTAATATAAATATGACATACAAAAATTAATTGAATTCATCATTGACTATTAATATGAAATAGTTTTATGATATAATAATTTAGTATTTTAATTGATATTGAAAAAATAATTGGCTTTATTTTCAATTTGTTTATACTACATCGATTCAAACATAATAATTTGAATCCAAAATTTAGTCCCATCAACTCTTATTTAGTATATCTTATTTATCACATCTGTTTATTAACAAATTTATACTATAATGCAATTTTTCTCGCATGCGATATATATTTTTATAAGAAAAGAGCATTTTTTATTTCTGGACATCTTGCGCTGATTTTTTATTCCAAGTTTGTGAAAAAGTATACTTTATATGAATTTATATATGAATATCAGTGTAGTGTATGGAAAATGGAGATGCGACAACGTTGAATTTGTACGAAGCATGAATAGAAAGTAAAAGTTTGGAACAAAAAAGGTTGAAAAACAAAAAAGAAAAGGGGAAAGAAGGAAAAAAAAATAAATATAAAATATACAAAAATATTTTACTTCAGAAACCGTGAAACATTTTGAATATCAATGATCTACATTATATTATAAAAATATTTTATAAAATTTGGTGTAAAGAACAATATCGTATTATTATATAAAATAATGATTTATTGACGATTATTTAAATAGTTTTGCATTAAGAATTATAAAAAAAATGATCGTATGCTTTTAATAAGTATTATATCGTCTCTAACAATGTAATATTAATGTATAATTTACAATAATTATATTGGCTTTTGTTTGATTAAGGTATTATTATATACATATTTTAATAAAGAAAAAAAAATTTTCTGAAATATTTTCCATTAGTTATCATACATTTATATCTATTCGTTATTATTATTTTCTTTATCCATATAATAAATCTTATTCACCCTCAATGTCTATGGTCGAAGCATTCTCTCACCATAGAAATGCGTACATTTTTTTCAATACTCGCAATGTCTCCCCTATAACACATTCCTTTTCTTAATTTCATAAATTATGGAATAAAATATGCATTTTAACTTTCTGTTATTTGCAAAATGATAGATCTCTTCTTTAAAGTTTATCAATTATTATTGTGTATCTAAAAAGTCTTCGCAAATTATTAGTAAATTTTTTTTCTTTTACAGATGAAAGTATAGTATCTTTTATATCAATATTGAATATAAAATAATATTGCATAAAACTGAAAATTCTTTCAGTTAACAATATAATTTTAATAAATATAAATTATTTAAAACTTTCTATACGGCTAAAATCTCTTGTTATTATAATTATTTTACTAATGTGAGTATTTAAAACTAATCTTAGGCGACTTTTTTATTGTAAATTTCCTATAGCGCAAAAATTAAAGACCACATTTATCTGAATTTATCCATTAGAACAAATTATCTATAAATAGTTTAAAATTTTCATGGAACAATTTTAAATTATAATTATAATTATAATTAAACATTATAGCAATTATAATTAATCGTTGGTATAAAAAATTTGAGTAAATACGAAAATAAAAACAATTATTAAAACGTGAATTAAGATTTTGGAAAATTTTGAAAATTTTCTAATATATAATACTTAATTTATTAATAAATTGATCAGACCATAAAGAACGAAGTCGTCAAAGAATATTAAGAAAAATATGGAAATTAAGTTTAAAAGTAAATTAAGATTGAAAAAAATCAACTTTAATCAAATAATAAAGTTTTCTGACAGATTTATTCGATTATTATAACTAACTTTCTATTCTATCAATTTTTAATATAAAGTTTTACGATCAATAAAAAATACCATTTGGGAATTTTATGGCGTTTACATAAAGCTATCTGTAAAGCATAACTGTGTTTATAGAAGGATAATTTATGGAAATTGCATCGTGATAATGCACGTGAAAACCACATCACACATCAAAGCTTATTTAAACTTTTTCTAAAAAAAAATAATACCATAATGACACCGTTACTATCACATTCATCGGACGTGATACGTTTAATTTTTTTTTTTTTTTTTTGTATATTCTAGTATTAAGAGAACCATCGAAAGGAAATTATGGAAATTACAGAAGCCATTATGTGGAAATTACTAAACGAATTACAATAAGTTAATTAGAGATTATATTGTAGATTAGACGAATTGTAGATATAAATTTATTACGTATGACGAGTTCTAACAAATGAACATAAACATGTAAGCAAATGAATTAAGTTATAGTTTGTTATAAAAGATGTATGATGCTTTTCTATTAAATATAATTTCATTGACAATATCTATTATATCATACAGTACACGCGATTAATACATATACAACGCGTTTATTAACTTATTGTATAACTTTATAAATTACTTAAGATTATATGAGAATAAATATAGTGGGTGTGAAATAAAAAATACTAATTGTTAATTGAAGTAATTATATATATAATATATATATATATATATATATATATATAATAAGATATTTAATAATACTAGACGGATGTATATAAGTACGAATAAATAAAAATGTTTTGAATTTATTAAATTTTCTAATTTAAAATGACCGAATCTTTTTAATTATTTAGTTTAAGAACAGTACACATTTTATTATTAAATCATATCAGATATTATTACTCCTTCACTCACAACTATAAAAGAAAAGTTATGGATGTAATGCACTGTATTTAATAGTCGATGATATTGAACTATTAATTGTTTAATCAAAAGGACTCATCGCTACATTTTTTTATGCTATGGCTAAATGATATTAATTAAATTTACTTTTATTCTTGTGATTTAAGCAACACAGTTAATTAATTGTTTGTATTTTATTGGTCTTTGCCATTTTAATTGAATATATTCATAAAATAAATTCACATATAATTATATCTATGTTATAAAGATATTTTAAAAATAAATAGATCTCCAGCTGTAAAAAATGATTTTAATTCAGTAATACTAATATTTATGTTTATTTCTTAAACAATTTCAAATCGAGTAATATGAAAACATGTGGGAGAAAAAATAATTGCATGCGTTTTGAAACGAGGGAATAAATCAGGCCAAGAAAAAGAACAAAATTAAGTCAGATGAGAGCAAAAAAAAAAAGCGACGATAAATAGTTACGGTGCTTATGATTATACGAACTTTCCAATGTTAATTCATTTTATTATTTGTGGCTAATAAATGTATCGCCTGCATACGCCCACACATCTACATCGGTATATTAATATTTTTACTTACTTTCTCCATGAGTTCTCGCACTATACCATTCCACTGTTTGGTTTCGGGATCGTAGACCCCATACATATGGTCGGGTACCAGACGTATGGCATATTGAAAACCGACCTGACCGGCGATCCACTTAAGTAGATCGACGCAAAATCCTTCGAATCTTGCATTTCCCGTTAGATTTTTATCTTCTCGCACCATTACGTAAGGCTTTTCCTTAAGAATGAAATAAGGAAACAGATGACATAGTTTAAGAAGATAATTTTAATTACATGAATAAATTAATTTATTACTAATGATTGCTATTGTTTTGAAAACCCTTTGTGTGTATGTGCGTGTTTGCGCGCCCGCGCGCGCGTGTGTGTGTGTGTGAGAGAGAGAGAGAGAGAGAGAGTATAAAGCGGTATCCAATACAATAAAATATATGTTATTTACACACAATCTAATAATGTAATATAATTTTTAATTTATAATAATAATTCGTAAATAATTTTGATAACCACTGAATTTGTTATTTATTACTTTGTATTTGTTATTATTATTATTATTATTATTTACGTTCATTAGTTGATTTGTACGTAATTACATCAATTAAAGATAATATATTTCAACAGGAGAATACCTTCGATGATTATTCATATATCATTAAAAATTTTGTTTTATTATATAATCAATCATATAAGCATTTGTAATAATAGTACAGTAAAATTGAATTTTAATTCTTTCACAATTAATTTACATTTCATGTGGTAAGTAAGTTTCATTATATTAAAAATTATGAATTAAAGTAACTTGAAAAATAGTTTATTTATGCGAATTTTTATAAATGCTATAAAATAAAGTACATTGAATAATTATGCAAATATATTTGAGAAGTGATTTATTCAGTTTGTACAATATATTAAAACATTAATGAAAAATAAATAAATAATATATGAAAATTTTATTTATTAATTATATTTTTTATATAGGGTGGTACTCGTATACTGTATAAGCAATTTATGTAATCTACCCAAAAAGTTAATAACGCTGTACTCGTAATTCTCGTGGTACTGCAGAATCAACAAGTGTCGATCGGATTTTTTTTCTTTATACATTTTTTCACGGCGACAAAAAGGAAGTATATAAAATTCTGATGAAAAAGAGAGAAATAGAAAAAGTGCCTAAAAGAGACTGAAGAAGCCAAACAAGGTAGATTTAGTTCAGCTCCGCGGCACTAATCCAGAGGGGAATTGCTGAACTGGGAATAGAGTAATTAAATTGCTGGGTACTTTAGAGTCGGCGCTTGCTATTTTTAGCGATTCATTCAGGAAATGAAGTAAGTATTTTTCTCCTTACTAGTTTTTCTCTTTGCGAGCAGATGAGATTTCGCACATCAGTAAAAAGGCAAGATGAATTGTTGCATGTGCAGGTGAAGTGGGATTTTAGAAAAGAAGATACTGATTTGACATAGAAAAACATAAGCTGTCTGTTTTTTTTCCACAATTTCATAGATATTTTATTAACTTTCTTATTTATGATGTCATATTCATTAATTTATGTTAATTTTAAAAGAAAAAATTATTAATCGAACGTTTTTGTGTCAGATTTTCAATTCTAAACTTTATTCTATACAACAGTATAGTCTTATGATATCGTAATGATTACTTTCAAATACATTATTCATCGAAAAAAGTCTTTTAATATATTTGATAAATTTATACATAACTGAATTGTTTAATAACACTATAAGTAAAAAATGTTATTACAATAAGAAAAATATAAAATACTGAATTTTATTATGTTGCCACTATATATAGAAATTTTTACATGAAATTTTTAAAGCAAATGGATAATATTATACCGGCATAAGATAATGTTACTTTAAATTTTGTCTAATACTTGTAAAAAAATATTAAATGAATTTTTATTACGACAGAGAAAAATATTTTATATATTTGAAATATATGTGAAATAAGCTTTTATGACTAATACAATAGTGTAAAAGCTCGAATTATAATTAATATTTTATGTCAAACGAATAATAATATTTTTAAATGTGTCTCATGGATACTCATTTAATTTATTATTAATGAAATATTCTTTCAATTCTTCAAATTTTTTACAATTTTATCTTAATAGCTTGCTTAGAGATTAGCCTATTCTCAAAAATAATTTATAAGAAATAAGCAAATAATAAGATAGATTAGTAGAAATATATATATAAAGGTATATCGAAGGTAATTAACTATCAGATGAAAATTCTGATCATAAGAAAGAAACAATATTTGATATATTTATTGAAACGTATTATTTTTGGCAAAACAAAGCGTATAGATATGCAGAAAAGAAGAGAAGACAAAGTGATAGATAGAGTTAAGGTGCCGTGGAGGGAGAGCGAGAGAGAGAGAGAGAGAGAGAGAGGGGGGGGGAGGTAGGAGATACGAGTTGGCTCGTGAAAACGCTTTGGCTAAAAGGATCAAGTTTTGGGGAGGAGGTATGATCGTAAAAGAAATTTACCTCTCTTGTCATAACGATGAGCGTAATGTTAGTGGTGGTTGTTTCGTAAAAAGCACCGACATCGGAGATGTTCACTCCAGTGCCGAGCTTCCACTCACCAACCTTCACGAGCTCTTCTTTTTTTAACTTGAGCAGATCCAATTTGAAATTCGTTCGTTTACCTTCGTTGAATTCAATGTGACCGGTTAGACCTTGTAAACTCGCCTGCAACAAGACCAATTTTACTATTTACGATCTAAATCTACGATCGGGCATACTTGATCAGACTCAATAAAATCAAATATGAGACAGTCTGAGAAAGAATAGGATGAGGGAATGGAATTCACTTTCATATTATTTTAACGATAAAATCCTTTTAAAATAATACAAATTCTTGGCTTATAAAGGATTCACTTTGTTTGTGATATATTTCTCATTATCATAAAAGCATTTTATTTTTAGGATCGACTGAAGACTTTTATGAATATCTGAAATCAATATGTTACATAATTTTTTAATCTCGACGCGTTGTGACAATTTACAATCATTTTTTTTTTTTTAAACCAGAAGAACTATTTGCATGAACTATTCGTGTACAAGTCTTGAATTCAAATCTTTATTGAAAGATCGATTTAAATAATTATTATTGAATTGTATACAAATCAATTGCGAATTTATAAATTTATGAATGAAGAAATAGTAATTTTAGTATGAATAATCAAAATATTTATGTAAGTAATTGGAAATATATTGCATTTAATGTTAATATAATATGCCATTACTATTTGGTGCAATATATTCTCTGATTCTCAGCTAATATTGTAAATTATATTACGTACTTTATACGATTATTCATAATATAGACATAATAATGACAAAATATTAATATTGCAAACGTGCAAAATATGCAAAAAAATTTGTATGAAATTATTGAGAAATCTGAATTTACAGTATATTATATAATTAAGAATTTTATTATTTTATGAAAAATGTATTTATCGATTATTATAATTGTCTTTTAATAAGAGAAACGATGATTCCATAAGCTAAAACAGATTAAAATACGAAAATTAACTTGCAACAATTACGCGAATATTTAGTAATTTAAAGAGTATCGATACGTGTATGCATAATATCATATTAACACGGCAATTTTTAACTAACAAAATCGTTCAGTTATATATTCATATAAATCTTCACTGATAATCTAACAATTATTTGCTTCTTCTAATTGAACTAGTTTTATAAGACTAAAGAAAACATCGAACTCGCTGGTAGCGGCAATTGAGTTGGGAACAAGGGAATTTAAAGCGTGTTCAACGGCGTTGGCCCAACATATGCTAATGTTAAATGATACATATCTCAGATAAATTAACCGCAGACATCGTTTTTAATGAAAAAAAGCAAAGAATGAAAAGAAAAAAAAAAAGAAAAAAAAATAGAAGAATAATTGAAAATGCTCGCGCATTCGAAATGTTCTCATCCATTTACGAGCTACGTTAATTACCATGATTATCATTATAATATGCGCGCGCGCGCGAACGCGCGCCTACGACACTTTCGCTGTCCTTTCGTTGCACTCGTAATTTTTCGAACGAAGCCATTTACACGTAAAGGTGGACGCATTTTCCGTTGGACACGTCCCGGCAGATTTGCGCGTTAATTACCTTGGGGGCCTCGGTGTTACTCGACTCGCGCACACGCCGATGGGTGCAGTGAATTACGGCCGCGCCCCACAGCATAAATCCATTTGCAAACGCTCAGTAACAGAACACGAGCCTTGTCGCATTTCCACACCACCATCCCTCCACATCCTCTCACCCACCACCATCTCTCTCTCTCTCTCTCTCTCTCTCTCTCTCTCTCTCTCACTCTCTCTCTCTCTCTCTCTTCTCACTCTCTCTCCACCCACGCCGCGCAGCCCTTTCCGCAATCCCTCGCGTCATATGGCTTATTCCTCTGCGCGATACTTGCGGTACGCAAAGAATCGCTCACTCGTCATTGGCAATTCGCAATTACTTATTCGCGACATGTGTATTAACGACGAATAATGACGATTCTGGTTTACTAAACGAGCCACGGATTTCGCGAAAATTGTTCTATTCTGAGACGCTAAATATAACAGCGCTTTTAAGCACAGCTTTTTTGCACAACTTTGTATTACGCCTATTGTTAATTCATAGTATTTTCGTGGGCGGATTATATACTTTAATAATCGTATGTAAGCTTGTCTACCGCGATAAGCGACTGATAGCCAATGCAATCGAATCAACGAGCAACTTCTTGGAATAAATTTCTCATTAATGTCTACCGTGGGAAGTTTCGAGATTGTTTCCCTTGCTGCCTACGCCCCTTTGTTCTTCCGTATTCGCAGTGTCCCGTTGGCTTTTATTAAAATATGAAATTTTACGCGGCTACTGTTAAGGCAGTACCGGGTTTCATGCGCCGGTGACAAAAATCGCAAGACTTTTGCAAGAAACTTGGAACGACGCGCTTTTTACGCGTCCTTCGGGTGTCGCATACTCGCAGCACGGAAACTTATAATGGGATCGAGTGAAAATGGAAGGAGAGGGCGGGGGGATTAGCAGCAGCAGCAGCAGCAGCAGCAGCAGCAGCAGCAGCAGCAGTAGCAGCAGATGTATCCCAAGAATGAGAAGAGGATATAAGAAGAAGAAGAGAGAAGTCAGTCTAATCGAATAATTCGCAAGATAGTTCATGTATTGTCTGGCTTTATAAGTTTTTCGAAACACTTCCGCCAACCTAATTCCGTGAGCATTCCTGAATGAAACCGTAGACAGGTTGGATTTATATTTTCTCGTAAATGTAAGATCGATGTGCTATGTACGATACACACGTCTCAATGCACCCGGTCAAAATGCACTTGCTGTCGCATTTTATCAGCGCTCACAAATCTCCCATTTTGTTCCCACGAAAATTTCATTAAGAGCATTAAGTTACATCGCTACCTTCAATAATTCACGAGACCTCCGATGTTACAGGCTCCATTTTATAATACTACTAAAAGAAAAAAGAAATTATAATAAGACACAGAGAATGATAGTTTTAAAGTGAGTAGTCATAATTGTTATGACTCGGCTTTAAAATCTCCACTAGCTTCTCCACAGATTCCAATTCGTATGTATAATAAATACGTGTGTACAGATGTACAATGCAACAACTTCACGAACTCCGTTGGTTTGGTTACGTTGAATAAACAGCCTCTGAATTAATAAAATTTGCTTGGTACTTTAATTTTTGAAATATAAGTTAGTAAGGGTAATTAATCAGATCGGTTAACATTATAATGATATTTTTAAATGTACACGAAGAATTTTACCAGGATTACCATTCGTTAAATGATAGAATTTACTTGTCCTACGTCACGTGCGCATAATGAAGTTATCATTGAAAATATATTATTTATTTAAATATTAGTCTGGAAAATTCTATTAAAATTTGCAATTACAGGAATGCAAATAGTGTATCATTAATTTTGTAAATATAGCAAGCGCACATAACTAATCAATTAACAAGATTTTCTTATATTTTTATAGCCGCTACGTACATTATTAATTTCTACTTGATAGGATATATAATAGATATTTGATAGGAAGTATTTAATTTTTTAATTTAATTTTTCAATTATATTAAATAGTTTTTGAGACAATTAGCGATTCAGGTTTTTGAACTCGTGTAATTTAATCGGTTCTTATGAAGTTATTATATAAATACTTTGTCGTCTATAATTTTAAGATGTTAATTATCATTGGGCTAAGCCCGACAAAGTCAGACTACTATCTAAATAAACATTATACTCACTGATTACGTTGATAATGGACTTTATTAGAAGTCTAATTATTAGGCTGTAATTATTGTAATACTCTATTAGCTCAAGGCAATACGAGTAAAATTTTTAATTATGATCCAATTGTGAGGTAATAATTTAGATTATTGAAAGTCAGATGAGTATGCAATACTTCATTAGTATTGGTATTCCATTGGCTATAATACAAGTAAAATTAGCTACTTAATGCAACTAAGAAGCAATTTGAAACTCTGCCATTTTTTGTTTTTTCTTTTTTTTTCTTCTTTTTTAAATTAAGTATTCCAGATATATGAGAGACGATAACGGTAATATCGTGACATGCAATTCAAATTAATACGTCGAATGGCGACATATTATTAAACAGCTGATCGATCGTATCTCTTAGACATATAGTTATTCCTTAAATCTCGTTAAAATTTATCGCAGGCCACATGACGGCTGTACAAGAGCGATTTACTAGATGGCACACGGGATATTTGCTAAATGTGGTGCTTCATTACGCGTTGACACGCATGCTGAACGAGCTTTCCTTACCACCTTCTGCCATTCCCTTCACACCCCCGACACTCACTCCACGGCCTATCGAGCAACAAACATTCCTGCCTCGTGTCCCTTTATATGTGCCCGCAAGCTGCGCTCAGCTCATTTCCCGTAAATCCCGTGCAGCTTTTCCGACACGCGCTTTGTGTATCGAAACTGAACGTCATTCCTAGATTATGATCGGACCACCGAATATACATGTGCCCCGTTATTTGTTATTTTGGCGGAAACAGATCGCCTAATTAGTACGGATTGTCTACTTATGCATTTTTTAATGTATACTGCAATACTATTTTTTTTCAAGTTATCTCTATGATGTGCACTGTTACGCTTACTTAGGCAAATTAGTTAATTTCTGATACTTTAGAAGATTCGTCTAATTTTAATTGTGATTTTTATTGCATTGAGTCGTTATGATGATGAATTATTATCATTATTCCATTATTTTACATTTATTATTCGTACAACATTTTAGTGTTAATGAAAGCATTTACATTTGTATAGAATAATTTCACTAAACTTCACATGAAATATTTTCATCCCAGAATTTCAAATAGATAAATAAATATTCTCTTGTTTTTTGTTTTCTTCTTATTCTTCGTCTTCTGTTTCTTGCTTATAGATGCATTAATTTAGAAAAAAATTGGGAGATTCTTAATACCGACCGAACAATACGCGTCATTAAATAAATTTACCCAAATTGCCATTATGATCTAATGGATTTCAATATATTATCATTAATTCATAGAAATTAATAGCACGTATTCTAGGAATAATGAGCAGCTGCTCGGCTTACCTTTGTAAAGGAAAACTCCCTATCACGTGAATGATCTTTGTTAAAACTAAATATCCTTGGAACGGTTTTCAAGTATCATTAAATAATAAACAGAGGAGAGGAGCAAGAGGAAGGTTAAGGCGTGAAATGATGCGTTAGGAACTCGTAAGGCTCCCCTACCGCCCCTGTACTTACGGAATTAATGTAATTATAGAGCGAGAGGCCGTCGTCCCAGGGCTCCTCCCGCTCACAGGACAAGTTGGCGGGACGCAGAACGTGACTGCGATCAAGTGCTGCCAATCCATGGGCAAACACCTGCACGCTGTCGTACACCAACGCCGGCTCCGCCTGAAACGTCCCGCGCAAGTGGCAAATTTATCTCTCGCACTTTTACAAGGATACGGCTGTGCTCAATAATGCCGCCATTATGATAATCAATTTGGTCGATAGAAGCGAGAGAGACATTGCCGAATGTTCGATATTATTTCCGTATATAAATTATTATTAACAGGTCGATAGTTAATTGATTGTCAACGAGTATTTAAATGGCTTTCCGCTGGATCACATACGAACTTATCTCAACGAGAATTTGTGCAAACTACGAGAATTTTTATACTTTTATAAGTTCCTTCGTGAACAGAATTGAAAGAAGAATAATGAATCAACTGAGATGCGCTAGATATTAACGTTATTAATTAGTTAGAAAATACATTAAGTTAATCATATCTATTATTTGATTAATGGGAATATAGTTTTTTTATTATTATCTGCCAAAATAATATTATGATAAATAAATTCGATTAATTGTTGCTTTTTATTGTATTTAGTTTATTTATTGCATTAAAATTGATAACATTTGATTAATGTTAGTTAGTTAATCTTAGTGTTTTTTTTTGTAGATTATTAAAAACTTGATACATTTATTTGTTTTAGTTTGTATTTTACTATTTTACTTAGTATACTATTAGTTATGTATGAAAAATCAAGATGATGAAACTGTATTACTTGTATTTAAAATTATTTTATAAATTATTTTATAAATTATTTATTACTTATTAACCTAGATTAAGATATAATTCAAGATCATTTCTTTTTATTTGAAAATCAAATTGTATTCTATTTCATATATATTTTATCTAAACTTATGACACTTCTCCTTCTATATTTTCTTTTTAGATTTCCATTTTATATTTTTCTATCTTATCTAATACTTTACATAATATATTTGATTTTATTAATCATTCAATATTGATTATTTTTTATAGAATGATTAAATTTTTTCTTCTTTTACTTCATTTGGTTAAGGTATAAATCCCCGCATATTTATAAGACTTCAGTTATGAATATTTTTATTAAACTACCTTTATCATCAAGAAATATAGTGAATACTTATTTAGACTTATATTATAAATTATATTATAATACGCTTATAGATATTCTTATTAGATAATTATGAATATTATATTTATTATGAAATATTATTAAATACTTTTTATTACTTTTTCTTTTTCTTTACCTATCTGAACGTTAATATACATAGATATCTAAATTCCTTTATATTTTAAAATTGGTTTCAACGCAATTTAATTTGAAACTATATGTGACGTTACTTAATTTTTTTTATTTATATCCAATATTACTTCTTTTGCAGCAGCTAATGAAAGTCCTAAATTTTTCATGGCGATGTGTTTATTATCTTTCGCTAAATCTATATCGTCTACAAATGGTTGCAGTTAAATCATATTATTTAAAGAAATTATTTTTACATTTTTTTTTTTTATACAAATTGATCAGATAGAATGTTTTTAAAGTATTAAAAAGCATATTGTATTCTCTGGGTAATCTTAAATAGTTATTATTTAATAATTTATATTTAAAAGATAAATCGAAGATTTTTCTTTTCGAATAATTTTTTGCCATTGCAATTTTAACATTTCTTCAAACAATATTAATTAATATGCATGAATGATATATATATATATATATATATATATATATATATATTAAAAGATGTGGATGACTCGAATTAATTAAAAAAATGTTCTTTATCAGATGTTTATATTATAATTTACCGATAGAAAATGAAATTGTTTATTTTCCATACTACTCTAATCAGTTTAATTGTTCATAATACCTGTATGATTCCTGATCTGTTAAGTATTGCATGACCAACTGGTTGAAATCTTTCCATTTGTTTTAATGTTTCAATGACTTTAGGCTGTTCTAAATCGACTAATCGAAAGGCAGTCATGTTTACACTATTGTACTTAAAATCTTCGAGATCGAACGTTTCAATGTCCTGCGTAAAATAAAATGTTTTTATTCAAAGTTACATTTATATATTTAAAGTATTTTAAAATCGATATACTCACAAAGCTTGTGAACATATAGTGATATCTGTAGTCATTCATTTGAAGTTGTAATATCTGTAAGTAAATAATGTTATAATTATTTTGCTTCCCGTGGTTTCTACTTTTTAATTATAGTTAATTATTTCCTGATACGTACTGCTCGAAAAAATTGTTGCATGTACAAAGGATCTGTATCGATAATTAATTTGTAAATTTCCTTGTGTCGAATTTCTCTAAGGACTTGTCTATACGATCCAGGTCCAGCCTGGCGAATGTATATTTCCGTTTTCGACGAAGGAGGTGATTTTACCAAGTCTTGTAATTTAAATAAACCTAAAAAAATATAATGAAAAATTGCATTACCATTGATAGTAAATAAAATCAATCGATGTAAAATTCAATAAGAAAATTTCTATTTGTAATTTTATTAATTCTTATTTATTATTATTAATTGATTTTTTGCGTTACAATTGAATATATTAATGAACCCAATGAAGGTTAAATTAATTTTCAGATCGAAATCTAACTGGAAGAAATTTAATTAAAGAGTAATAGAACTTCACTATTAATCTTTATAAGAGTACATCACCTTTCCATTTAGTATGATTTATTCCACAGTTAGAAATACGTGGCGTTATGAAAAAATCTCAGAACAAATAAAAAATATCATTATAACTATTATCAAAAACTTCTTTAATTGGTACAAATGAATTTAAATTGTAATATTTGTGGTGTTGCTTTAATTCGCAATAAAATGTTACTTTAATTAAATCGATAACTAATTGTATTTTGTACTTAACGTTATTAAGTGTATTTCAATAGCTAAAGAAGATACTTCAAACACAATTGTTTGGAACAACGCTTTAATGAAATTTGATGTTTTGATAAATTTCATTATCAAAATTCATTTCATTATTAAATTTAATAGATGAAAGTTAATATTTTAATAAAAAAAAAAATAATATCTTCAATATAATTATGAAGAACTTATTAATAAATTATTAATAGCTAATAGTTTATTTTTAATTAATTCAGCATCAAAACGTGCCAGTGTAATGGTTTCATATACAAGTTAGTCAGTCAGAAAATAGAAAATCTTACAAAGATAATTTCAAGCTCCTTCTCTTAGAATAAAACGTCAAGAAATCAGTAGGATAGAAAAATGAGCAGAAGAAAAGAGATAAGGTGATGGCGAGAGCGAGGTAGTAACAAGGAGTAAGGGGTTGAAACGAGCAGAGTCGGAGCTTGTCACTTCCGTTTTCATTCAATTTCCCTCCGCAAGTCTCTCTGGCCTCTCGTACGTTCCCACTAACTCCTATCCCGTTCTATCTCCTCCGTCCCTCCCTCCGACCCACTCATACTCTCTCTCTCTCTCTCTCTCTCTGTCTCTCTGTCTCTCTTCCCCCCCCCTTCTCTCCCCCATCGCAGCACTTATTGTTTCTTCATTTTAACGAGTCTTTCCTCTCTCGCATCATGAGGAAACTTCGCTTTCCACTTTCAATGCATCAGCGCAGACGCACACGCACGTTAGTGCGAGAGTATTCTGAAATTCGTTCAGAAGCTCAGCAACACTTATATAAAGAGAAGCTCTAGGCGTAGACTCACGTCAAGTGAGTCTTGCGAGAAGAAAACGGAAATGAGACCTAAGGCTCTTGGCTTGTTTTTCATTTACGTACTCCATCTCATGGGGCCATAGAAAAGGACTGCACTCCTTTTTATCTAATTCCCGTCTATTTTATCTGACTGCGGGGTATCGTGACGCTATTATGCGAACTTCTCTGAATATATAAATTAAACGCTATGGAGATGGTTTTGATTACGAGGAAATTCGAGTTATACGGAGCTTTAAGCCTTTGTCGAAATGTACATCACGTTGGAGGCAATTTGGCTTTAACCGAATGGGGTTACATTGTAATGGAGATCTTAATTCGAAGAAAACCAAGTATCGGTGCAACGGCGCTATCGAAATGATTCAGCTTAATTTGCTGTTTTTAGAGAAGAAGAAGAGGAGAGAGAGAGAGAGAGAGATAGAGAGAGAGACGAAATTTTATCGCGAATTTTCAATCTTCTATTCTTTAATCTTGCTTATTCTAAATGACAATGTAGTATTTAATAAATATATACAAAAAAATTATTTACTTATTTTTGACATTGAAGAGGCTTAAAAGTTTTTTATTGAGTAAAGCAATAATGAGTTTCAATCGAATATTTATACTATTGCGAATGACAGATATTTTTCTTCCAGAGCATATCGTTTAATCAAACTGCTAGGCGCCGGATTATTCTTATGAAAACTTATAATTTTTATTCCATTTAATATTATCATTTATTTACACATTATAATTAATGAGTAGTTAAAAGATCAAATGAGATAATTAGTTTTGTAATATAGTATCTAATCTTAATTGTTTAACATATTAAAACACATGAGTTTAAGATGTATGGTAATTTATTAGAGAAAGATAAAAGGCAAATTCGAATTGAATAATATTCAAAGTATGTGCAGCTATTAGCACGCACCATTATTAATACACTTTATTAATAATTATTAAAATTTTTATCTAGACTAAAATTACAAGTATTTCAAAAATATTTCCAATCTAAAATATTGATCAATTCAGGATACTCTTTTTGACACATATTACGTCAGGAACAGAAAATAATGAGCCCTTCAGAATGCAGATGAAAATTGGTCTCCACTCCCACACGTGGATTTATGTATTCACACACAAGCACACACGCGCACATATTTTGTGGAAACGATGAACTATATGTTGCTATATTTTCAAGTGTGATTCTATGATCTTATCTTGTGTTGGTTCTCATTATGTTATAGAAGAAAAAAAAAAGAATGGCGAAGAGAGGAAATCTATCGAAAAGAAGTCAAAGTTGGCGTGAAGCACTACTATTCGAATCTGAACTTGACAGTTTGACGTTCCTATTCGACAACAATTTTCAACTTCCTAATGCGAATAGTGATAATTTTTTTTCGACACTTGAACTGCCGTAAAAGTTGAGTGTCAATTATAGAGATTTTGCTGACAAATTGAAATAAAATTTAGAACATTCTAATTCAGATATAACAAAAAAAAAAAAAAAAAAAAAAAAAAAAAAAAAAATAAAAAAAAACAAAAAAAAACAACATAAATTCAATTATTAAGATAGTATTTCAGAATATTTGATGTAATTAATCATTCATAACGTCTTGTAATTCTTTTATTATTAGTGAATGAATATAAATCCTCTCAAACAGAAATATTTATAAAGAAAAATATTATATTTACGGACACTTGGTAAAGCCACAAATGTTTTTCAATATAATAAATGAAATTGTTATAAATCCCTTTCTTCTATAAAACAATATAATAGTTCAGTTGCCTATAATATTATTATAACATAAATTTTTCTCTTCATGATATTAAAATATTTCAATAGCCATTTAAAATGTTTAATGATCTAAAAATTTATAATTTATTTCCTTCATAAATTTAATTAGACTATTTTTATTATAATATTATAATTTAGATGTGCTAATTAATATTATTATTTGTTATCGTGAATTTATTATTAATAAAAAATTTAGAAACTTAAAAATTTATTCATTTTAATTTATTTGAAATATCGAATTTTATTAAAAGGTATTGTTTCAGCACAAAATACGAATACCAATATTTCGAAATTATTTTACAATTATTCAAAATTGTCCAGGTTACCGAAATCCTTGATTGTTTATGAAAAATTAATTATTTTCATTTAAAAATGATGCTACGATGACATTAATAGAAAGATGTTAAATATTTAATAAATTTTTATAATAAATTCAATGTTTTTTTTTTTTTTTTTTTAATTTAATAAATATAAATAAACTTTAGATGTCTTTATCAAATATGTTTGTTTTGAAAATTGAAATTGATTTCACGTCGTAGCCTTTATATGTATTACATCTTCAAATTTAATTAAATTGTCTGGAGTAGTTATGAAGTTATAACTATGAATTTGCACGTATCTTCTCTCTTACGATATTATTTCCTTTCAATAATACAAATTCGCGTATAAAAACATCAATGAATACAAATTAATTCGATAAACTGTCTAAATATTTCATTGATCGTACAATTGATAATATTTGAAATATTGTATTGTTATGATTTCAATATATATATATATATATATATATATATATATATATTGTATATAATGTAATATAAAAATGATTCGAACATAACATTCTTTGTAATTAATATTGGAAATATCAATTGCCAGAGATAGAAAATTTTTTATTGAAGAGGGCAAAAGCACAATTACCATAATCCTCTTCGTAGACGATGGCGACTTTAGTCCAGTTAAGAAATGTCATGAGGTCTCTAAAGGCCCGGTTGAGATGATCCTGAGCGGGATAGAGATTGATACTGAACTCTTTAAAGGTCGGCTCAAAGTCCACTCTGGCTTCAAGGTGAGGCACGTCCAGTGCTTCGCAGATGCTCTGAATGTGGGCGCCGAGAAGCGGATCCGATGGGCCAAAAATCCCTTGCACGGATCGAGATAACTGCTTGCAAGCTTTAACAAAAAATAGCGAAAGATGTTCGCAGCTGTTAGAATCGCCCGTACTCTCTTTTATGGATATCTCTGACATATTATATTTAGATGCTCTCGTTTTTTCATTGTCATTCGAACGAAAACTTTGTAAATTGCTAATGTATGTGTATATATTCATAAGCTTTTGCTTTCTGTACTTGGAGAAATCTGGCGGCAAATATTGTATTTATAATTTGCAATTCAAGTTACAGTTCCCAAATTAAGAAAATGCTTAATTTTTATAATAATTTAACAAGTATTAATAGTTTGTTATAAAACAACCTTTTTTATCCAAGTTTTTAATCGTTATCCAAGATTTATTATGATATATCATTATTCAAGTGTCTGAACTGACATTAATAATATAATTTACTAATAATTTATGAACATTAAACATTAGGATAAATGTTGAAACGACGAACAAACGCTTACAATTATCTATACTTAATATTTTTAAATAGAACATCTTGTTATTATGTATGTTTTTAATTAAAAAATTCCTTTCTATGAATATATTATATTAAATATTTATAAATGAAAGTTTAATATAATAAATGTTGATATATTGATTTATTTATTTATTCGTTTATATATTAAATGAATATTTAAATGAATGAATTCAGTTTTTATCATTATTTTACATTAAGGGATAATTTCATATGATCTGAGTTGTTTTCGAATAATTTTGCCGTATATAATATTTCATCAACACTCAAAACTTATTGATAAATTTACATTGCATTTTCTAAATGTCCAATATGTTAGATTTACTAATTTTATAAACATTTTTTAATATTAATTTCTGTAGTAGTAAAAACTGCTTTAGACAGATTATTAGTATCACATTATAAAGTAGAAATTAAAAGAATTTACTTCATGAGATGTATCCCATAAAATTATATGAATAATTTATTATGAGACTGTGTGGATCGTAGCATTCTGTTATATAACATTTTTCTATATGGTATATTTATATGCTTAAACACGATGTGGCGATGAAAATATTTGAAATTTAAAGGAATTTTCTGAATTATTGGAAGACTATTCTTTAAGTTTATATGTATTAATACATTTTCTTAACTTTTTTTCTTTTTTTTTTTAAATTTAATCGGCATTAACAAATTTTTTGCACTACTTAGTAAGCCATAAATACACATTGTCGAATATTCTTTGCGAATTTAATCAAGATAATTTAATTATTTAAGTTCGATTTAGTACTGCGATTAATACTTTATCATTGTCGTTTTAACAAAACACAAGTAATTCGATAGAAAAAGTGTATTTACCTATATATATTGTCCTCCTTGAAATAATTAATGAAAAAATGATATATAATTGAAATTTAAATTTTTATTCAATAATATATAATTTTAACGTTTTAAAAAAAAAAAATTTTTTTTTTCAAATTAATTGGCTTCACAAATCAAATAATAAGAATGTGCTGGGACAATTATTCGAAAAACATTGATCGAATAATCATTTCATCTGGTTCGACTATTTGGTAAATTGTTCGATCATAGAGTCGTAGTTTGAAAATGAGTTTGAAAAAAGGTGAAGTGTAAATCCCCGTGAGGTGAAAAAGAGGACAAGTAAGTAGGAGGCGCGAATTCTACGTGTTCCGGCGAGCGGGACGTCGATTATTCGTCTACGTCCGGTATTATTTGGGCAGTCAGCATAAAACGAAGAGGAAACTGATATATCCGCAAGGTGGTCCATGCTACACTTATTCCATCCCTTTGGTATTCTTTTCTTCGATTTCCTGCCGACGAGGACGGATCGCTTTCGTTTTGCTTGGCTGGTAACTCCACAACCGACGCGAGATAAGGCATTTTTTAACTTCGCCAATAATTCCCAGTTGAGCTTTTATACGAACCCACACGTAGGTGATATGGGTCTTGGATAAAATGCGTTTGCCTGTATCCATCAGCTCCAGTGCACGAATTGACGATGAAAACAAATAGTTTTGAATTTCGAAAGATGATGCACTTTTTCTTTACATTTCTATGCATTTTTATACCATGCAGATTTGCATGCGAGGGAAATCTTTAAAAAAAAAAAAAAACTTATAGTTTTACATATTATTACGTAAATACGTTGTTGAACTTTAAAAATATTTATTCAACAATTGATAGTGAATATTTATTAAACATACATTAAATTTTCTGGGATTTGTACGATTTCTATTTCAAGATAATTATTCCAAATAAAATATATAAAATATTTTTCAGATGTATTTATTTAAGTAGTAATAATACTTAAATACATTATTAATCTATTAAGTATGATCATGTATGTATCCTACATAAGTTTTTTTTATCTAGTTTTATTGACAATATTATGAAATGAAATTTTAATTATATATAAATTTATTTTAAGGTAATTTTGTCGGGTAACTAATTAAAAAATGCGCAGTTACGTAAGAATTATAAATTAAAAATATTTATATTAATATAAATTAATTATCTAAGTTATAAGTAATACTATAGTAATATAGTGATTTTACATCTATATTTTCTTTTATTTTTATGATTGCAGATGAATATTTAATTTAAAAATAAATACATATAAAATATATAATGATATACAAATTTAATTTATTATTGCAGTGCATATTTAATTGTTAATTATTAATTATGTTGTGAAACAACAAATTATTAACTATAATATATTATTGTTACATGTTAATTACTAAGTAAAGCTATTCAAATATGTATATATTATAAAATATATAATAAATATAATATTCAAGTCGATTTAATATTCGGATAAAAAAGTTCATTACATAAATATTTATTGTTACAAATATTTGCATTAGATTTTATTCGATCATTTGCAGTTGAAATTTATACTTGCATAGGGATATCTCATTCTTAATTGTCGAGAAAATAAAGCAGAGCTCTACTTTAAATTTTCACTTTAAAGTTCGCAATATTTTAAAAATATAAAAGAGACTTAATAATATTTTTACAATGCTAGTATCACATTTTTCCCTATAATTATTTAATTATGTAATTTTTTGTATTTTAAAATTCTATATTTTTAAAATTATGTAAGCGACAAGTAATATACATATCATATAATATCGAAATACGAAATTAAATATTTTAACTAGTTTGTTATATGTTTAATACTTTTGGTTACACATTTAAGTATATAAATTATAATTGCGTATCGTATTTTAATTGAGTTTGTCTAGAACAAAGTTGTCGATTATTTTTCTTTTTCCCATTAGTCATTATAACAATTGCAAATCATATTTATATGTAATAATAGACCAAAGTTTATCATATACAAAACATATTAATATTAAAAACATATTTAAATAATAACTGAAAATTTATACATTTCAATAGTATTTAGTGAAATGATAAGTAGATGAATCCAGCTCAAACCTAAAATAATAAAAATAAATAATTATCTCATGGTATTTTTATGGAATGCAAATATTGTTTAAGTCAAATCCTCTTTAAGTGCATATGCATCCATGCGTTTCTTAACAGAATTTGAAAAGTGTTGCAAATAGGATTGACAAAGGCCACGGCGCTTAAATCCTCTTTCTTCTGTGTAAAACTAAAGACCGGCCGAAATTGCATAATCGCTTGTCAAAACGCTCATATACGCAGACTCATACACTCGTATGTAGGCGTCGTCTCAAAGTGAAACTTTGAATTCCAATGGTATGAACAGCTTATAGGTTTATGATGCGGAACTGTTTTGAGATTCTGTAAACTAACGAGGAGGATTTGCCCGACGCTTTCACTCTCTCTCTCTCTCTCTCTCTCTTTCTCTCTCTCTCT